GCGACCTCCCAATTCGTCCCAACGTTGCACCCAAATAGATCACATCGCTATCAGCCACCGATGGAGGGGCTCTATAGAAGACTGTCGCTCATTCTGGAGCACATGCTGAGATTCAGATCATGCTCTAGTACGAGCGCGTATCTGTCTGCGTCTTACTGGACGTACGAAAGACGCTGCAAGGAAACCTCTTAGGGACCTACTTAATGATAGTCAAGCTAAGAGTATATTTCAGGAACAACTAGGAAAACAGTTAGGCAGCCATGTATGTAATGCTCACCCCGATGCAGCATGGAATGATATTCGAAAAGCTGTGGAAACAGCAGTGATATCTGCTAATACGGTAACTCATAAGGTTAGAAAGAAACACTGGATCTCAGCAGCATCTATCGCACTGATAGATGCTTGGAAACTCATCCCATCTGGCTCTAAACATAACGAAGAGCGGAGTCAGCTTAAGTGCAAGCTGACAAGAAGTCTACGCAATGATTGTGAACAGTGGTGGGTAGCGAAAGCAAGAGAGATGGAAAAGGCAGTGGCAATAGGTAATAGCAGACAATTGTTCAGACTTGTTAAGGAAACCAGGATTAGGAAACCGACGGTTAGCGAAACACTCTCAGAGAAAGATGGACATATTATTCATTCTCAATCCAGGAGATTGGATCGATGAGCAGAACACTTTAGGGGTCAGTTCAACTGGCCTTCAGTCACACTTCGGTTTCCCACGATCCCCAGTCAACCTGAATGGCAAGTTAATGTAGGTCCTCCGTCTCTTTACGAAGTTGAAAAAGCCATAGGAAATTTGAAGCGAGGGAGAGCAGCAGGTCCTGACAGGTTTACTCCTGAGATTTTTAAACATGCTGGTTCAGTATTAGCAGTGAGATTAACTGAGGTCTTAGGTAGAATTTGGGAACTGAACGTAATCCCATCTGACTGGTCTCAATCACTGATTTTGTCAGACTATAAGAAAGGACAGAAGTCCTCTTGTGACAATCACAGAGGGATCAGTTTGACAAATATAGTGTCTAAAATATTAGCTTCAATAATACTTAGACGCCTAACTAAAGCTCGTGAAGAGCGGACTAGAGAAAACCAGGCTGGTTTTCGACCTGGACGTGGTTGTATAGATCAGATATTGACACTACGTCAAGTCCTAGAACATAGACACACATCCAGACGCCCCACAATCGTAGTATTTCTCGACCTTAAGGCGGCACTTGACTCTGTTGATAGTGAGGTTCTATGGCAGTGTTTGTCACTGAAAGGAGTACCAAAGAAGTACATTAACCTTGTAAAGGCTCTCTACTCGAACACAACTGGTCGAGTGAGAGCTTATGGCGAACTGTCATCAGAATTGATTACATCAAGTGGTGTTCGTCAGGGCTGTCCACCCTCTCCATTCTTGTTCAACTTTGTGGTCGACGTGCTTTTAGAGATGACACTTTCCTCATCTAAATTTCCAGGAGTTGAACTTCTACCGGGAGGTTCACTTGTTGACTTAGAATATGCTGATGACATAGTTTTATTTGGTGAAGACGCTGACAAAATGCAGTCTTCTGACCACTCTAAGCAACAATGCAAGCATGTTCGGGATGCGATTCTCCCCCTCGAAATGCAAAATGTTGCTTCAGGATTGGGTTGCATCGACACCTGAACTAATGATAGGGAGTGAAGTAATTGAGCGTGTCGACCGCTTCACTTATCTTGGAAGTCTCATCAGCCCTTGTGGTCTGGTGTGTGACGAAATCTCAGCATGGATACAGAAGGCTCGACTAGCTTTTGCGAACTGGCGTCATTTATGACGTAGGCGAGATATCCGTCTATCAAACAAAGGACGTGTTTACTGCGCAGCAGTTCGTTCCGTCCTGCTTTATGGCAGTGAAACATGGCTGATAAGAGTAGAGGATATTCGTAGACTACTAGTATTTGATCATAGGTGTCTTCGAAATATTGCTCGTATATCCTGGGACCATCGAGTAAGTAATGCAGTTGTTAGGAAACGGGTACTAGGTAAGGATGGCAAACCAATTGATGAAGTAGTGAAAGTTCATCAGTTGAGATGGCTGGGACATGTGTTATGTATGCCCAACCACCGATTGCCCCGATGAGCGATGTTTTGTTGTATAGGAGTAGATTGGAAGAAAGCTAGGGGTGGCCAGACCAAAACATGGCACAAGTCCATGAAGTCACTGACAAGTAGACTGATTCATATTGGTAGGTGTAGACTACCTGATTGGGGACCGCGAGATGATAGCAACCGATGGTTAGAGACCCTGAGTGACATGGCTCAAAATCGTTTGCAATGGCGCAGGTGCATCCACTCTTTGTGTTCTCCCAAATTCTAATCTTCTGAATTCTTCATGTCCCAGTCTTTTTTCTAGTTTCAAATTTATTTCAATGGATTATACTCTTTGACTAACATCTTCAAAACCTAATTTTTCTGATTACAGCTTATAATTTTACTACATCTAGCACTACGGGATTTGAATTGGCCACTGCATCTCTGTGCTAACGTGGTGTGGCAACTCGAACTGATGTACGTACGTACGAAGTTCTACGTTGTTACTGACTGACTGACTTAATGCCTTTAATGACTGATGCCACTTTCTGCTTTGGCTGCTCTTAAATTTTTTCCAACCATTTTCAACACTAGTCAGCACTGTATGTCGTGGTAATCGGTGTTCAGGCATACGTAACACATGGTCCAACAATCTCAATCGATGAAGATTCACAACCTCATCAACTGATTTACCATCATTCCCTAATACCCTGCGTCACTATTCATAATGACATTAAATCGTGACATTTACGCAATTATATAACTCATTGAGTTATAATATTATTAACGTTATATTCCCGTCATGACACTAGCAACTCAAAAGACTATTTTTTACTATTTAATGACTTAAATGTTTCCTTCTGAAGGTGAGTTTATTCCAATTTCGCGTGTCTTTTTGCCTCATTATAAGATACTCATCCACGTAGATGAGGTTGTTTTTGTGTTATCTTACTGAGCACACTTTGCGATATCGTCTCCTATTATACTTGTGTATTCCATCACTTCTAATAAGCTTTTTTTATAAGACCGATAATCTTTACTATATTTTGAACCATCTGTCATAGCAATACCTCTACGAAACTAATTATCCATTTTTGTGGCTATATGGCACATTCATACATTCACACAAGTTGGAGTCAGATAAACATGCCGCTATAATTTGCAGTGAAGTAAACTAATCGTGACACAATATTTTGGATTTAGGAGACAGATTAAATGTTGCTAGAGGTGTTCAAACAAAATCATGTCATCTGAGTAACTTATGTCGATGAGATAACCCGCATTTATGAGATTTTCTGAAAAGTCAGATGATGGTTTACTTGTATTGGGATCCTCGAGACTAAATGGAAAAAAACGTGAAAAATAAAGTCCTGGATGATATAACTTAAATTCGCCAATTCGGTGTAAGCTCCGATATGAGCAGTTACTTGGATTAACAGGATTTAGTAGACCAATGAAGTCCTTTACTTAGCTTTTCAATAACAGGTATTACAGAAGTGGATACTATGTTTAGATTAAGGATCATGACATGAGTAATTTTAAAACGGCTTGTTATAAGTTGACTGGGACTAAGTAGTGGTCGGGTGGTCACCATCATATTTAATGGGCTAGAAGGTCGGAAGTAGTACATGAATGTATTTTAATTGGTTCATTAGACACATAGTTCAGTTTGTTAGTGAAAACTTCAAAATATACCTAGAAGAATGGCTTCTAGATATCATAATCTCGAGTTACTACAATAATTTATAAATCCCCGAATAGATGCTTAAAAAAACAATGATAAGGATTAAAGGAGCAAGAGATGAAACAGAGTGAAGACTAAAACGATGGACTCAAATCTTTAGGAGGTATGGTGACAGCTGACGCCTCATGATTGCTAATACCAAGTGTTAAGATAATTAGTCTACCAGGTACAGATCTATATACCTGACATTAAGCTACGTGTTTTGTTTGGAAAGTGAGTAGTTTCACAAGGTTTTCTAAATCAAAGACAAGGTGGGAATCCTATCCACAGACTGATATTAAATCAAACACTTGAGTCTGTAGGGTAGCGCTGAACTTAAAATATGACTGCTTACAGCCATTTACATGTGATCCCTTGTGAAAACCCAGTTTTCGTTTTAAGATATAAGATCCGTACTCTTTAGATTTTATTTTACCCCTCCTTTCAACTGTGGAAAAGCAGTAGCTTTTAGAGTGCTGTGTTATGTGTACGGATTCTAAACTTCAAAATCGTCAGCAATATGCCTTTGCCCTTGGATATGAGATTACTTCTTTTACCAATTCCTTGTACAACCAAATTAGTTTGTATGGAAAAGTGTTAAATAAAGTGTTTTAAACAAAGCGGGTAAGTAATCTTGACTGCCACAACTAAGATAATCTACAGCCACAAATCATACATATATATGAACATATTACGCCGGCTAGTGTATGTATTTAAGAGAAACTTTTGATACAACGGGATTTTACACGTAATTTATTAAGAAACAAAGTGGGCTAGTATTCTTTAGGTATTGGTTTAACTACGTCATTCAAGTTTGGGATAGAAATGTATATCAGTAAACATCACAAGATATATCTATATAGCCGGTGGGCACTATCAAGGTCATTTTAACGATGGAATAAGGTTGTACATAAATTATAGTCTCACTAGGATGACACGTGCGAACCTAGAAAGCCAGTGGACACGTGAACATCTAGTATACTTTAACAACTAAAGTCGTTTCCTTAATTCAGATAATATGAGAAAATGGAGAAGCTGGCCAGATAAGTCATGCATCCAGCGAATATAATGCAAACATGTCAACAACTGAGTGTCAACCCCATTATAATAAATATCGATACTTAACATGGTTACTGTAAATACGTAGTAGTTACGAACAAAATAGGTATGGTTACCAAACAACACCAAAAGAGAGATAACATGGGAAGAACTATAACATACTTGATGAGATGAGCAATTAGAAGGCGCAGGGCTTTCTGAAAAGCTCCTGACATTTGATTTTATTGATTTGGGTTGGAATTCAGTGATAATAACGCTATAGCCATTTGCGAAGATTTCGAAAAGTAATGGTGAGGATCGATCAAAGTGTTTGAACCGAAAGTTACTACACAAACCATAGAAGGCAACTTATCAAATACCTGGATACAGACTGCTTGCATTTAGATTCTCTTTTCTTTTTTTGTTCATCATCCTTTTCTTTTAGTATAGTTTGAGCAATTAACTGTTGCTGTTCTACTACTTGAGTATTTAATCTCGGTTTCCTGAATCGGAGTTTGTATCAAAACCTAAACCATACCTTGTAGAAGTTCCTTTCCTGGTGTGGCATATTTCACACTTATAAGATTCTTTGGGATTTATGTAGGTGCATACACTACAATCCCATTTATCATCCTCGTCACTACGCAGTCTCCTATGAAGTCTAACAAATGCAAACAAAGTAATCAGTATTGAATACAAAATTCCTTACCGATGAAACTCGCTTGCTTTTGCCTCCATCACACATAGAGCTGGATTGAGTACCACTAGGAATAGTCTTTAAGTTACCCGCACCAGGGGAAAACCTTGAGGTGAAGGTTGATAAATGTAGATTGAAAAACTACAGACTATGTAGATGATAAATAACTGTTATGTTCATCTTTTACTCGATGACAGACAATGAATGAATATTCAGGTGACCTGATCAGTTAGCATGTCTTCAGTCTTCAGTAACAAGGATAGTAGGTTGGTACACCTGTGTTAATCCTGACAGATTGCCTTCCAGTGAAGGTCCAGTTTCTCCTTGAAAATATTCACTGATGAGGCTGATACCATTTGTTTGGGTAAGGCGTTCCAATCATTGACTACTCGGTGAGAAAAACGGGACCCCACTGTAGCGGTAAATAAATCCCCAAAATAAATAGCTCTGTAAGTTTTCGACATTGGATGCTGACCATGTGTTTTAGTGAACTCATCTAGCTGAAGGCGCTCGATCATGCATCCGCACCAGATCACCTGTGGTAACGCTGTGCTCAACATCTACCGCAATCGCTAGCCAGATTACATCAGAGAATTCCGATATATTGATTGTCGACAAATACACTCTTCCGATCTCCTCGACTCTGTCATTTGATTTCTCTCTGTGGGTAAAAATTATATTAGAAGGTGTTGCTGCTAAAGGCGTTGTCAAACACTGAATACCTGTGTCATCTTCATTAGTGAGATCGACGTGATCTGGTACACCAAATTGCAACTATGAGTCTGTTCCTTTTCGGGATTTGTATACACTATTGCCTTATTTTTTTATACATTGTGATATTTTTTCCACGAATCTCAGGATATCTATATATTTTCCCCTCGTATTCTCGTACTTAATATTCCCTTATGACCGAACTGACTCCTAAAGTATTTAAGATTAAGACCATGTCCCCACCCTCGTTCCAACTCATGCCCTTCTGGCCCGACAATATCGAAGCCGACTTCCACGAGCACTGCGTGAACGACACACTTGCACAATTCCTCGCAGTAGTCAAGGCACTACTGCGGAAATTCAACAGATACGTAACATCTAGTATGTTTACTAGTGATGTTTCTGAACCTCACGAAACGTTAAAGCGTTCTATCCTTAAACGAGAAGACCTAACCGATCGACAAAGGTTAGATCAACTCTTTGATAACATAGACCTGCAGCACGGTTCTGCGACGGACATGTTACAAAGGATGAGAGAGGTTGTAGGCCTAAGAACTTTCGATGAAGCCTTATTCAAATAACTTTTCTTGTCTAAACTTCCCCAACAGGTGCAAGCGGTTCTGATCTCGTTTCGGAACAACGCCTTAGACGAGCTGGCTGCATCTGCCTATGGCATCTTTGAAATTACGGAATCTTCTACTACCGAGGTATTTTCAGTCAAAGAAAAGCCTCAAACGACACAGAATGATATAACCGAGTTATTTCATACACTTACACATTATCTTAATTTTCGTAACGACCGTAAGCGATCACGCACCATACGTAGAAGCATTTCACGTAAGCAATCTGTTTCTAGACCACGAGAGACGGATAACCCCGACTGGTGCTGGTATCATAACCAATATGGAAAGTCTTCCAGAAATTGCAGAAAACACTGCAATTTTCCCATCTCAAAACCGACTGACTCGAAAAACAACTCGGGAAACTTCCAAGCCGGCACGTGTTAACGGCAACCGTAGCCGGCGAACATAGCTGTCTGTTATACGCCACAGATGTAGCAACGAAAGTTCGCTACCTCGCCGATACTGGCGCAGAAGTTAGCGTTCTCCCAGCAAATCCTAAAGACCGACTTCACGAATCGGCTCTAAACTTACAGGCGGCAAACAGAAAACCTATCACTACGTATGGCGGAAAGTACGTTTACCTTAACGTGGGTTTACGCAAACCCGTTCATTGGATTTTCGTTGTTGCAGATGTTTTATGCCAATCATTGTTATGGACCATCTACAACAACATAATCTGATCATCGACACGCGCAAACGGAGGCTAGTAGATGGAAACACTAAATTATCCGTTTGCCTAACTTCTCTTTCTGGTTGCAGATTATCCCCAGTCACAATTAAGCATACGATAAACCCACTTTATCGAGCACTACTCGATAAGTACCCTAGGATTCATCAAACGCAATCGAAATTACCGTGTGTAACCAGCAACGTTACACACAACATCACGACTACAGGACCACCTGTATTCTCTAAAGCACGACGACTAGCTCCTGAAAAGCTAAGGTTGGCGAAAAACGAATTCGATCACATGATAGACTTAGGAATCATACGACCATCAAACAGACCATATGCTTCTCCGTTGCACATGGTTCCTAAAATGGACAGCAACAATTGTCGTCCAACCGGTGACTATCGGCGACTGAAAATACAAAAACCATTTCCGATCGTTACCCGTTGCCTCACATTCACGATTTGACAGCTACCTTGAAAGGTAAAACTGTCTTTTCGAAAATCGACTTGGTTAAAGCGTATAACCAAATCCCTATTGCTACTGACGACATACCGAAAACAGCTATCCTAACTCCTTTTGGACTCTATGAATTTTTGCGAATGCCGTTCGGTCTAAAAAACGCTGCTCAAACATTCCAAAGATTCATAGACGACGTTCTTCGAGGTCTCAACTTCGTACATGCGTATGTTGATGACTGCCTTATCGCAAATCCGGACAGAGAATCACATCTCAAGCATCTGGATCTTGTTTTCGATCGACTACAAAAACATGGCATAACTGTAAACGTTCAGAAATGCTAATTCGGAACCGACTCATTAGATTTCCTAGGACACACTATAGATGGTCAAGGCATTCGACTTCTTAGGACCAAAGTGGCGGCAATTCTGGATTACTCAGAACCGACCACGATCAAGCAACTGCGAACGTTTAACGACCTTGTAAGTTTCTATAGACGATTCATACCTAAATGCGCTATACTCATATAACCTTTTACAGACCAAATTCGTGGAAATGCGAAATCCATTAATTTGGGCGACACCGCACGGAAAGCATTCTCCACAATTAAAGGACTCATCTCTAAAGCAACAATGCTTGCACATGAGGACACTCAAGCACCCTTTAGCATCGCAGTAGACGCATCCGACTCAGCAATCGGAGGAGTCTTACAACAATGGGTTAACAACTCCTGGCAACCATTGGCATTTTTCTCTAGACGGTTGCTAGACACCGAGTCGAGGTACAGTACATTCGTTTGGGAATTCCTAGCTATGTATTGTGCTGTACGGCATTTTCAACATTATATCGAAGGCCGTGAATTCACTCTTTTCACTGAACATAAACCACTCTCCTTCTCTCTAAGCTCTACTTCATTCAAGTACTCTCACTGAGAGTCTCTACAACTGGACTACATTTCGCAGTCTACTTCAGATATTCAACACATCTCTGGAGCAAACAATGTAGTTGCAAACGCCTTATCTCGCATAACGTCCTTGAACAGTTTCCTATGAATCGACTTTCTGAAACTCGCCGAGCTTCAAAAAGGAGACACTGATCTTCAGCACGAGTTATCGTCTACAACCCTCCAACTACGCATCAAACAGATGTGAACAGGTAAGAAAACTTTACAGTGTGACACATTTACAGGTAGGTATCGCCCAATCGTGCCGAAACATTATCGACGCAATGTCTTCAATACATTGCACAAACTTTCTCGTCCAGGTGTTCGTGCAACCATCAAGCTTGTAGCAGAACGGTTTTGCTGACCTGGCATGAATAAAAACGTGGGGGAGTGGGCACGCTCCTGTGTAAGCTGCCAAAAATCTAAGGTCATCAGACACAATAAATGTCTCTTAGGCTCATTTAGAACTCCCGATGCTCGTTTCGACAAGGTTCATCTGGATTTGGTAGGACCTTTACCAGATTCAAATGAATACTCTTACCTCTCAACCTGCGTAGACCGTTTCACTCGATGGCCAGAAGCAGTACCTATCAAGGACATCACTGCTGAAACAGTAGCCCGCACCTTCGTCGAACGATGGGTAGCAAACTTTGGTTGCCCTTCAACCATAACTACAGACTGCGGACGTCAGTTCGAATCCGAATTTTTCGTCATCTGACCACACTATTAGGAATCACTCGCTTCCGAACGACCGCCTACCACTCACAAGCAAACGGGTTGGTAGAACTTTTTCACCGACAACTAAAAGCTTAACTATCAGCTGCAAACGTTTCACAGTGGACCGATGCTCTTCCACTCGTCTTTCTAGGTATTCGCAATGTAGTGAAAGATGACATTGGATACACTGCGGCTCAACTCGTCTATGGAACGACACTTCGAATTCCAGGAGAATTCGTGGATCCTTCGTCTTCAATAAATAGGGATGAATCCTCCTACACGAACAGGCTTACAAACGCAATGCGTTCAGTTAAACCTACTTCCACTCAACCACAATCCACCGATGTTTTCGTTCATTCTGTCTTACGATATAGTACACACGTTTTCGTTCGTCGAGACTCACATCGACGACCGTTCGAATTAGCATTCGAAGGACCTTTCAAAGTTCTTCAACGTGAATCAAAGTACTATATATATTCGATAAGAACGGAACAAACGATAGCATCAGCATCGATCACTTAAAAGCAGCGTATTTAGAAGGAAATCCTATTCACGCCGACTTTCCTTCGGTACAATCGCACAACACGACTCCTACACTAATAATTCCTCAACCGACAACCAACACTAGCGATGACACTCTGAATGTGTCTGAAAATGAACTTAAAACGACACAGTCTGGAAGAAGAGTAAGATTTCCAGAACATATAAACGACTATTGCACGTAAGGCACTACCCGACATTCTGTATTATCTCGATCTTCCTTTTTACGATATATAATTTTTAAAAAAATTTATTATGCTTATAAATTTATATTTTCATTTTAAAAAACATTAAAAAAATGTTTTAACGCTATTACGTGTGCTTGAGTTTATTTTCCATTTTTTTTGCGGATATTGCGTTTTTACGCACATACGAGTGTATTTCGACATGCATTTACATTTTCTTTTTTCTTTTGCAGGACGGCTGGAAAAGAACGATGATTACTCTCGGTGGG